CTTTTCCTGTTTTCTTTTTTTTTTTTTTGCAGTTTCTGTGGCCGCCCCAGCCGCTTTCAAAGCCGCCCTCGCAGCACGCTGCTGCTGAGCGCGCGGCGCGGGCTGCGCACCGACCGGAGCGGCCGGGCCCGCGGAGCAGCCGGGGCCAGGGGAGCAGCCGGGCCCGCGGAGCAGCCGGGTTTGGTTTGGGTGACAGGGTGGAATAACGCCAGCCCTCCCTGCCCCAGCGCTGCAGCTACCGCCACCCCCGGCGCTCCCAGTTTTCCCTTTGAAGCCTCCCCAGCACCCAGGCACGGACCGAGCACTCAACGGCCAGGGCCAGCTCCAGCAGGCAGGAGCAGGTGGCACCTACCGCCCGTTCCGAGTCCGACTTGCAGCACGGACAAGCGTTTTCCAGCTGAGCATGCGTCTTGATCCAGACTTGCTCCTTGCAATCCCCACACTCCTGCTCGGAATCAACAGCCCCAGGTCCTATCCAAGCCATCCACCAGCAACTTCCATTCCAGCTGCAAGTACCTCCCTTCAAACAGGAATAACACTTCCTTTCTTAAAGATGCCAGGGATGTTTCCAGTTGTTCACTCTTTCTAGTTTCACTATTTCCCAATGCAGTGTTGATTACCGATGAGATGACCTCCAGCCTATTAGTATTGCAGAGACTTCCAACAGCTTTTACTGTACATTGTTAACACTTAACATTTTTTCCATTTATCACAAAGCCGAAAGACAGGTGTTGTCAATCTCAGATTAGAAGGTCTATTAATATGCTWAAGCCACACAAAGAATAAACTCTGCTTAAGAGCTGCAAAGCAGAACTGTACTTCAGCCAGTGCTTGGCCAGTTGAAATCCCCACTACCATCTCAGGAGAACTACATCCAAGAGCTGGTCATGCTTGCCAGGCATGACTCAGCTCTGCACAAGGCACTTGTTGTACCTTTATAGTATTTRGAAGTTGAGTAATTATACCTTAATGACCTCAAAATATTTGCTCAAAAAATTTGAAACACCAAGTTTTGTGGATGCAACAACTTTATTGGAATGAACAAACACAGTGAAATGTTTACATGGATGCGAGAAGTAACTGACTAGCTCAGTTACCACCCCTCAGGCGCAGCACCAGGTGCAGGGTGGATTCCTTCTGGATGTTGTAGTCAGACAGGGTGCGTCCGTCTTCCAGCTGCTTGCCAGCGAAGATCAGCCTCTGCTG